TATAATCTATATAAGCCAGTACTAATAAAGAATCACTCGATCTATTAAACAGAAATTCTGCAAAGAAGACCCAGGTATGACCCGCCTAAGTGGTTCATCTTTACCTCATCTGGGATTTCCAACTTCCTGAGAATTTATGCTCCAAGAGTCTACAGTAGGTACCCACTGACCTTGTTAGGATCACTGCCCTATATAACATGTCACCAATCTGAAGAAAAATTCTCTAAAAAAATCAAAAAAAAAGAAGCACAAATAGGGTAAAGGGAATTACGAGAAGGGAATATTTTGAAAAAAAACAGATATGAAAACAAATAAACTAAGAAAAGGAATCTAAAGTACTAATTAAACTAAAGAACCTATCTAACAAATTGGTACCTGCTAACCAGGATACTTATCTACACGATCATAGTAATTACATAGAACTCAGCTGACATATATAAAAAAACTAAACTAAATACACTTTAACCTGTGCTAAAGGCTAAAAATTATATGCACATGACTTTATCGTAGAACTGCATATCTCAAAATCTCTTTATTGCCCCAACTTTAAATCTATAATCCATTCCAAAGTATAACAAACTTAATCGACTTCACGTATTCTTACTGTCACGTCTCATCTATTTGGTGTAGAAGTCCTTAAAAACTTTTCAAATCTTTGACGTGCAGGGCCACGTTCCATAATAAGGAATCAATTTTTCAATATAGCCATGTGTTTGTTGTGTTCATATCACAGAGTTGCTAAATATGGAAGTAGTAAACAATGCCAATCTTTTGAAAGAGGGTAGCCAAATCCCTCACTTTTTGTCAAAAATTGGTTTTGAAAGTGTCAAAGCGGTGAGGGAAGTTGTGGTTTTGTGAGTTTTCAACTAAAGAGAGTTTTCCAAGAGTTCATCATATCCTTCTATCTCCAAACTTCCCGAGTTTTCTTTTTTACTTGCTGTTCCCAGAGACTTCTCCGGTTTGGATGCCAAACACAAAAGGGAGTCACCTGAAGAAGTAAGAAAAAGGCTTAACCCCTTTGCAAACTGTCCAAAACACCTGCTTCTCAGTATATCATATTTAGAGACTTCATTGACAACAGTTTGTATCAAGAAAACTTCAAGTTGTTGTTGACTTCTGGTCTTGAGTCTTTAACTTGCTTTTGGTACTAGTTGGTCCAAGTGATTGTTGGGGAGAGTTGTATGTTAGATTGATTACTTATTATAAATATTTATTAAATACTTATTATAATTATATTATTACTTGCTAAATACTTAGTTTTAAATATTCACTAGGTATAAAGTACATTGGAATTAGTTTAATAATATATAGTTATTGGATGCTTCACATCCAATAACAGTTTTATTTGGCAGGAGAAATGAGAATACCATGATTTGCAGTATTACGGGATGATCATTTTGGATGACAAATAATAAAAGCATCTGGCAGTGAATTTTTATGTGTGAGCATCTGGGCCCAGGTACGAATGCATAAAAATTCGCTGCCAGATACGATTGTTATTGGTACGTAGCATCCAATAACAAATTTATTTTTCTTTTTCTTTAATCAATATAAACGAAAAGTCTGTCTTTGTGAATTATGTTAAAATATTAATACCTGGTAAGAAAAAATTGTATTGATTTATAAGTTATTACGTATCATGGATATTAATGAGAATTTCTGAATTAATAATAGTAGAACTAGTAGAATTTTATAGAAATATGATTGACATTAAACTTTGGTAAGTTAATATTAATAGATTTAAGTAAAAGCTAATTAAATTAATAGTAATTTAACTTATTAATGATGTATTCTTTATAAATAGATATATATAAAAAAAAAAATTTTGCATCTTTACTCCTATCTTGTATCACTACATTTGGTATCGCTTACTCTATACCATCATATCTAGTATCGCTCACCTTGTACCGCTATATCTGGTATTACTATATCGCTCACCTTGTATTGTTATATCTGGTATTACTATATTGCTCACCTTGTATCTGGTATTACTGTATCGCTCATCTTGTAATGCTTTAAAAAAAATGTCCAAAGTAAGAATTTTAAATCAAGTAAATAAAAAAAAAGAAAAAATTTAAAATACTTATTTTTTTATTTTTTTATTTTTTATAGCAAAAAACATCTAAAACCAATACTGGAAGCTTTAAACCTTCTAGTGAAGAGATACAACATATAAAAAATTCCACAGTTCCAGAAAATACAAGAAAGATGATTGATAACTGGGTTTGAATATTAAATAATTGCTGTGAGAATGTTGGTTATAATTATTCAATTGAAACTATTCAAAATAAACCACAACTTGAACAAGAAATGATCGAGTTTGTGTGTAGTGTATGAAAATTAAAAGATGGGGAGGAATATGCACCTTCATCATTACGCAATGCTATTAATTGTCTTGCAATGTATCTTTTAGATAATTCTTTAAATATTAATAAATATAACTTGGCCAATAATCAAGAGTTTAAAGATCTATGGAAGACGCTAGATGGTAAAATGAAGCAACTTAAGAAAATAGAAAAAGTTGTCTGGCATCATGATCCATTAACTACTACAGAAATTCAAACAATATTCGTACATGAAGCAACATCTATCTCTCACCCACAGGGTTTGCAGTATCGTATATTTATGTGGTGCTGTTTGTTGTTTGCTCCCGGGGCGGTGAGCATGGTGAAATGTGTATATCTCAATTTGTTTTTACTTCAAATGGTGGTTTACAATTCAAAAAATTCTCACAAAAAAACAATCAAGGTGGTATTGATGGCAACTTAGATTCATTAACTATCCTAGTACCACCTGATCCTGAAGGTTTACTTGGTCCTATTCATGATATAAAATTATATATTGAACATTGGCCAACTAATTTTACTTGTGATTACTTACATTTAAAAATTAACAAGTATTTAAAAGATACATTTGAAATTTTTTTATTTAAATTAATAAAAAAAATAAATAAATAAATAAAAAAAAACTAACTATAAATTCTAG